CTACCCTTTTTTTACAAATCATATTATGAGATCAGTGTTGGTTTTCAACAGGTAATTATTTATATTGATTTATATAAAAGAGATAATCTATCATATTCAGACCACAACAGCACTAATTTTCATATTGCTAATGATTGAATTTGACATCTCGATATTATAATCTTGCTAGCATTGTGCAATGTTAGGTTGATCATGTGTGTGGCTGGTTTCATATATATGCATTAAACTCATCCTAGCTAGAAAAGCTTTTAAAAGGATTTCTCATCCAGAATATATATATATAGGTTTTTAGCAGGTCAATGTATGGGCAAATGAAATACTTATGATAAAACTTTTAGGTGTTGAAAGAATACATGAGACTAATATAAGTGCAAAGGTCAATGTGCAAATGAGAATTACAATCCATGCAAAAGAGGATTCTTCTTCCACACAGAAAACAATATGCATCATTGGTTCTGTAAAGGTCACGACAACTAGCCGATTGGATGAATTAATGGGACTAATAAGCTTTAGTTTCACCAGCTCTCTCATCAAAGAGAGAAAGCTAAAAAGGTGCTTAGACTTGCAGGGCGAAGGCTCCCATTTGAGCATATCTTTTTGCAAAAAGCACGCAAGAAATGAAGCAAAGGTGTTGAAGAACATGGAAACTGGGTACCAAATTGAGCATGAGTTAGTTAGGCCTTTTCTTGCACAATTTCTTGAATTAGCACACAAAGGTGGAGTGAAGATCAATTAGTACTAATTAATTAGTATAATTGTGCAATGATATTTAATTACCATGAATTTAATTATAAGAGAGATGATATTATAATGTATCCCTTTTCATCTTATTTGTGTCTAACAATGCAAAAGGCATCAACATGCATTCCAAACCACTGGCTTCTGCTCCATCATGAGTGCTTCACTTGGCAGTTCCTATTCCTTGTGCTAATGATGTGAACAGTACATATACTTCTATTATAGAGTTGTATTGGGATCTTGCTTTGTGCTAACAACCAAAGGTGGTGATGGCCAAATCCTAGGGGGCAAGATTTCATACTTCAACTGTCCAACACTTGCTTGAAGGATTGCAAAGCTATCGGGCCCTTCTATATATCAACAAGCCATGTCTCCATTTCCTTTTTTGACACTTAAAAAGGGATTAATTATTTGTGGTAGAAAAATGCTAGATATTGTTGAAGACAGTTGTATCTAAAGCAGGGATATTTAGATATACCTAATGTGGTATTTAATAAGTCATTTTTGGCATGTCAAAAAATCTATGCAAACTTTGAAGTATCATTCACAAGCTATAGCAAGTTTGGCATATATTAGTTTTACCAAAATATGTGAATTTCAAGGCCAGTGAGTGATTCTATTCATATGTCTACATATAGTATATATGTTCAGGAACTCAAACTCGGGATTTGAAGTGTCATAAATTATTTATTTTATTCAATTTCCACATATTCTTTTAGCTTGGATATACTAAGTTCAAAACATAAAACTTGTTCTATTCAATACAAATATATATGACTGCAAACCTAGCTAGCTAGAAGTTAATCCAATACTGAAAATGCAGATGTGAATCCATCAATGCAGCACACGATTAAAATTTTCATATATATATGCGTGCGTGGTTAGGGATGTTGCATGCATGATTGCAACTGCTACGCTGAACTTGAAAGCTTAAATGAGAAAGCATTGTCCTTAGATTGTTGGCCCAGGTTGGAAAACACTCCTTTTGTTTTCTTCCGTCTTACCATGACCTATATATGGGGACACTCGATCTCTCGGAAAAAATAGCTATCAATGGCAAGCAGTCTGTTGGTAAAGAGTTTTACCGACACTCAACCTGCCACGAGCATCTGCCAGGGGTTCAACAGTCAAGAAAAATATTTACCAACAGACTTCTTATTTATTGGCAGATGGGTGCTGATAATTTTATAGTTTTTTCCGACAGATATTGTATTTCGGTAGATGGGGATCTCCACCATGTCGTCCTCCCGGTGGCTACACCCTCGTCCATGTCCACCTTGTAGCAGCTCCGTTGCACCTCTACCCACTCGCTCGGCTGGCTTGCTTCGCCGCCTCCTCGTGCCAAAACCCTAGAGGCTACGCCTTGCCTAGCAGTGTGGTGAGGGAGACAGGTGTTTTTTCTTGTCACAGGAACCTTATCCTATCCACCCCAATATCTGACACGCCCTAGTGATATAGCAACAGACAGCTCGTCGGTCCAAGATCTTTACCGAGTACCTACAGATAGTCCGTCACTTTCTTTTACTGACAGATTGTTTGACATAGTTATCTTTTTACCGATAGATTGTTTTGCCAGGATATTTACCGGCAGACTGACTTGTACCAATAGTCCATTTTTCCCAACAAACTATTGCCTTCTATTTGGTGTTGCGGTGTAGTGTATATACTGATCACCAGATGATCAATGCTATAGTATGAATATATTTAATAATTACAGCAAATAGAAATTTTACCGTTCACTAATTCAATTTTAGTGTGTCACATCACTAGGGGAGGGGTAAGAATAAAAGCTCTAAAAACTCGCGGCTCAGCTCGAATCAAGCTCATAGTCCTAACGAGGCAAGTCAAGCTGCGCTTTTATCTCTTTAGTTTAGCGAGCTAGCTCACGAGCATCATATCTTCTTTTTATACTTGCTTCTTAACCAATACTTAGTCCTTTATTTATTTTAAAACTATTTGTATTTAGTTTTTTTATTAGTTAATATTTTATTATTATATTATGAATCGGTAAATTTAAAACTATAGAGCCAGTAATATTAATATAAATTAGATAAAATTTATTGACAAACCTAACAATCTTAATGAACCAGTTTGCAAACCGAGGCAAGCTAGCACGTTTATTAAGGTATCGAGCCTAATAAGTCGAGCCTTAATGAATCGAGCTGGCTCATTACCCACACTTACACATCATAGGGTTTGGGTCAACAACATGAGCATATGCTGTTAAAATTAAAACTTAGAGAATAATTATGTCAGGGTTATGGATACCTAATAGTAGTTGACTAAATCTCGGCAGGACCCACCACATACCATGTTTTATACGGAAACAACCTTCGGGTATAGAAGGAGTTCCGGATAAAGAAAGATAAATAGAGTTCTACATGGACAACATAGACGCCACAAAGCCACAAGCCAATACAAGCCAACATACGCCAAGTCAAACTGCCAGATATCGACATCAGAGATAAGTCTAGGAAAACCCCATATGGTACCTACGGGAACCAAAGAGAGGAATCTAGCGCTGTCTCTGACCTCGCCGGATGTGGATTCGAGGAGGAAGGCTACCCTGTTGTTGACTACGAGTCAGAACTTCAGACCACCATGTCGACAACAGATAGATAAGCTACCCCAAATATTGTACTGGTGTGATTATGGTGAATAAGAGCAACGACCGGCTTCGGTCAACAGGAGTAGGGTTATTACCTGACAATTCAGGGGCCCGAACCTGTATAAAAATCCCCGTCTCCATCTTTTTTACTACAATCTCGTATATACCCTGGTATCAACAATCCCCACACTATACAAATATCGGAATCGCGACATCAAACATCGACAAATTATATATGTTATTGTGTCAAATGCAAGAGGACAAGTTGCACGGTTTATTATACATTCAAACTCCGATCAAATTAATTAGTGGTTTGATAAACAATTTTCTACATGCAGTTTGCATAGTGTCAAATAGTCATTCAGACAGGGCTCATTAGTTATACATGTACTCCCTCCATTCCATATAAACCACTTTTCTTAGATGTTCCATAATACTCCATAAGGCATGCATGCATATAGGCAATTAACTATGACCCCTTCTCCATTAAATTATTACTTTTTTAATCCTCCACTCTCATGTTCTTTAATTCTATTGGATGCATGCATTGTATTTATTAGGATGATCCAAACTACAAGATGATAATAATTATTTCTTAGTCTTTGTGTTAGGGGTGGTTATGCCTTATATTTTGGAATGGAGGGAGTATTTATCTCGTGACAGTTTCGCATGAAACAAAGAATTAAATTTTAATTACCAGAACTCTCATAATCTTTATTTTCAATTGGAACCTATATATATTTCTCTAATTTCAAGATAAACCCAATGGAGCCTGCTTTATTAAATTTCTTACAAATTATTTTTATATTTATTAAATTTCAGGAGAAGCTATCAAAGCTAGCTGGAATATCCTATTAAATTGTCTCAATGTGCTAGATGACAGCATGATATTAGGGGTAGAGAAAGAGAGAGATGTGATGGCAAAGATAGTACATGGAGTACTCACTTTCCTGCCTCCCCTTCCTATCTTTCTGGACCCTAGCAGCTAATTGCATCTGCTAACGACCTGTAATTGCAACCAACCTACATATATTTTGACCAGTGACAGTGACTGTTCCTCCTACTTCATTCATGCATGCACATGATACTCATCATCTCTCTCCAACACCACACTGATCACTAGTCACTCAGGCAAGTACTAGCTGCATGCACCTTTCAGACACTTCAATATATTTATTCATAAGCTCATCAATGTGACTTCATGTGCAAGGGAAGCAGTTGGTGCATGAAAGGAAAGAGGAAGCAAAGAAACAAAACAGGGGAAACTTTACCCTGAAGAAAATTTTTATAAAAAGGTGAAGCATTATCTACAGTGTTTAGCCCTAATTCTAAACTAACTTCTAAACATGAACACCCACATAATTAAGGCATCTAACTATATATTTAATTATGATATCGCTATATATGCAAGGCTGTCGATATTCTGATCCGTATCCTAGTATCTTATGGTGCTGCGATCCTACCAAATCAAAATGATACCGATCTCATCTAGTATCTTAATTTTTTATAGTATCTTGATCTTACTATTTATTTCCAGACGATTCTATGAAATCTTAGGTAGTATCTCGATTCTACGATCCATACAATCCTACAAAATATTATTTAAAATAAGGTGGATTGAAAATAATTTGAATAAATACGCTCAAGTTTACATAAAACCAATTAAATTGATCAAAATCAATATTATATGCTTTAATTTATACAACATACTTTATACTTTATATTAAATTATGTACTTTCTAAAATCTGGTAGTATTTCGATCCTGTGATACTACAAATAAAAAAAACGATCTTACCTAGTATCTTGATACTGAGTATATATACAACTCAAGTTCTTTTAGTTATTTGCATGACTACATAACTCTATAATTTTGTGTACAAGGATGAATTTCAAGATATTTATATATATGCAAGATCAAAAGTGGAGTTGGTGTGAGAAATCTTGTACATTTGGAAGAGAGAATATATGTGTCAATGGAAAAAAATACTACCTTCAATGTGTATGTATGTATATATATGTATAATTGTATATATATGCAATGTACTCCTTTGGCAGCTATAGATGGGGCCCCTCCCTCTCAATCATTCAACTTGGAAATCAAGGAAAGGCAAGGATGACACATCTTTCATCAGCTCCTCCAAGTCCCACTCTCCCATGACATTCCTGCTCATGTGCTGCTGCTGCTGCTGCAGCATCTGATGCTGCTGCTGCTGTTGTTGGTGGTGACCCTCCCAATAGATCATGTTGCTGCTGCTGTTCATTAGGCTAATGCAGCAGCTGCTGCTGATGTTGTTGTTATTATCACTGTTGTTCTTGTTGCTGTTGCTGTTGTCTGTGATGTTGCTGCTCAGTGTGGCCGCGGTCGTGTTGCTGCCGGTTTTGTTAGGGTGGTCGTCGTCGTCGTCGAGAATGGTTTGGTGGTCTAGGAGAGGTGGCACTGATGCGCCGCCAAAGAGGATGCTGCTGCTGTGATGGTGATGATCTCCTATTAAGCTTGATCCGTCCATGGTGGCGATCGCGTGGTGGTGGTGGTGGGCGCCGGTTGATCCGTAGTATGCTTGCTTGATGGAGATGGAGTGGTCGTGGAAGAACGGCGGTGGCGGCGAGGTGTCGACGCCGCAGACCTGGTCGGGGAGTGGGAGGAGGCCGCCGTAGCTCCTCCCCGCCGCCGCCGCCGCCATTATCGACGGCCGGCTCTGCATCGACGAGGAAGACGACGACGACGACGACGAGGAATCCACCCACATGCTCTTCATGGCAGCATTAGCTGTCCCGACAACGACGTCGTCCGTGGCGCCGCCGCCGCCGGCGAGGTCGACGACGGCGCCGAGCTTGTGCTCCGGCGGGGAGGCGCAGTCGGTGGTGGTGGCCGGAGACGCCGAGGAGGAGGAGATCTTGAGGCGCTTCTTGATGGTGGAGTTCCAGAAGTTCTTGATCTCGTTGTCGGTGCGCCCCGGTAGCCGGGCAGCGATCTGAGACCACCTGCAATAATTCCATGCGTCGTAGTACGGTAGATTTTTCATCAGTGAGCAAACGAGATGTTTCTGTCAAGAATTATTATCCAAGCTTAGCTATAGCTATGGTTGTAGTACAAAAGATTAATTAAATAAAAAGGTTAATTAGCTGCATGCACATATATGTCAATGCGCCTTAATTAATCTTCTTTTTATGCATGCATGCATGCATGCATAAGCGCATAAGCATGATTAATCTAGTATTTACTTCCAAAAAAAAATAAAGATAAAATATATATGATTTTCTCCGTTTCAAATTACTTGTTGTTTTACTTAAAAAAATTACTTGTCGTTATAACTTTGCAGTAAGTCAAACATTTCTAACCTTCATCATCAATTCTCTAGAAATTTATACAGTTATTACCATAATAAGATTTATTTTCTAAATTCATTATATATGAGAAATATTTTCATAATATATAATTCACATGTTAAACTGTATACGAATTTTTGAAAATTTATGATGAATATTTGACTTTATACAAAGCTAAAATGAAAAGGTTTTTTTAGGTAAAACGAAAAGCATATATATATATATATATATATATATATATATATATATATATATATATATATATATATATATATATATATAGGTTAGTTTTACATGTGAGAAAGTACGTAGAGGTAATTAGTCGATGTCATAATCTCATTTCTGGTAAGACAAGGATTAATCAATAATTATGGATGATTGGATCCGACAAATTTGCATATGTCTTTCAGGGTTAATTAGAACGTATACAAGTATGAAGTATCCCTTTCGGTGTCTTTTCAGGCAACTTTTAGTTTCTACGTTACATATATATCAGTTTTGTAATTATGCATGGTGTACGACATTTCATGCAAAATTAAGCAGAAGAAAAAAAAGAATTAATCAAGAAATATTTTGATTGATATATCCAGGACTCATGTTGTTCTCATAGCCCTTTGAGACTTGAGACACATGTCTGTATATATATTAATATTCTAATAATCAAATTTTTTTAACTTATGTCACATATTATAAATGTATATGCATGCATGAGTATATGCACGTCAACGTTTTGCTGTACGTGATCTGTAATGCTTCAGCTGTAGAATACGGAAATTGTACGCTCACGGTAGATCTACCTAAGACAGTTGTGAACTAGGACAGTGTACATGGGAAAAAAATATCGTACGACGTATTGTGTCAAATTCACGTAATCTCTTATATACTTTTTTTTTGGAGAAATGCATGTGTAGATCAGAGCACCACAGAGAATTATAAACAAAATCAACACCATCTCAAAAAAAAAAGAGAAACCAGAGGAAAACAATTAATACACACCCAGAGAGAGATTTTTTTTTAAAAAAAGAACAGTATATATATCTTTTAATTGCGAGGGAAATTCATTGAAAGATTATGCTACATTACTTGCTAGCCCTATCAACACAATATAACAACATTCCAAACGAGAAAACAAAACAAATTAAACACACACAGAAAAAGCTAGCACTTTGTGAAAAACAAGAAACAAATTAATGTAGGAAGAAGACAAGCAAACTACTTAAGAAAAACCGATGAGAAACGAACGAACAAAGAAGAACACACAATATGAACCCCCACATTACAAAGACAATGAAGTAATTAATGAATCAATCTCCTAATATATTAAAGCTTAATTAATCATGGTAATTAATTAATTAGGTACTACTTAGTCGTAGGAGCTTATAGTTAACTGATTAGCTGCACCTGTTGCCGAGGATGGCGTGGAGGTTGACGATGAGGTCCTCCTCCTGCGGCGAGAAGGCGCCGCGCTTGAGGTCGGGGCGGAGGTAGTTGATCCACCGGAGGCGGCAGCTCTTGCCGCAGCGCTGCAGCCCGGCGTTCCTCGCCACGTCGCTCCACGACCCCTGCCCGCTCCGCAGCATGTACGCCACCAGCTTCTCGTCCTCCTCCGGCGACCACAGCCCCTTCCGAACCTTCCCCCCCACCACCGCCGCATTGTTCCCTCCCGCCACACCCAGAACGCCGCCGCCCTTCGCCGCCCCTCCCCCGCCGCCGCAATCCGGCTTCCTCATTGCCGATCTTGCTGTGATTTTGATCAAGTATGTAGATAGATATGATGGATATAAGTAGCTAGGGAGAAATGGACATGAGTGTGTGTGAGGTATATATATCAAGTGTGTTGTGTTCTTGTTGTTTGTATGGAGTGATGAGGAGCTAGCAATGGAGAGAGATGAGAGGGAGGAAGAAGGAGAGGAGGAGAGGGGATGATATGATGGTGATGGCGATGGGTGCGTGTGTGTGCTTTGCTTAGAAACTGGACAAGTAGATGGAGAGCAAACAAGAGAGGAAATAAAAGAAGGGTTGTAAAATGCTAGGTTCACACGCATAGGTCATCTAGGCATGTGGCTTCTATATATGTAGCTTAATTATAGGATGCCCCTTTATGTGTAAGCCATTGCGTTTTTATTTCTTTGTTCTCGAATGTGTGATTCGTGGATTTTCTATATGAGAAAGTTAATGTTTTTAGCAAGAGGAATTTTATAGTACTTGACATAGGGAGTCGATACCAAGAGGTATATATTTTCTTGTGGACGAGGAACCAAAATTTACACTATAATTTAGCAATACACCATCCTAAGGAAGCGCTTAAGGCAACTGAGTATATCTGTTGCATTGAAACTAATGCACTAAAAGGTTGTATGTAGTGACATGCTTGGATCAATAAATAAATGTGGCCATTGGTTTGTGTTCATATAAATCATGAGAATAGGCGTCTACGCATAAATTCTACATATTGAAAGCAACTACTTATACATACAAATTATTCGCTGCTACAGTTTGTACGGCTTCAATGTACGTATAATAACCCCACAATTTAGTATATACATCATTGTACTACGGTGTAGCTGGTATGTGTGAACCAACCATTTTCCATGCTCTTTCAAGGAGAGATATGAGAGAGAGATAGAGCTCTAGTCTTCTTGTCTTTGACTCCAGCTCTTGTTGTCCTTTTCCATTTCTCACTTCCCTTGAGCCAGAAGGTTATCATGGCCACCTGAGGGGCAGGGAGATCAGTTGAGGGGACAGAGATATGTGCATATACATACATGCCCCTGTGGGGTTGTTTTGCAATGAAGCATAGACAATAGAGAGAGCTATTAGCTATAGGTCACATAATTGCTTGGAGTTCACATAATCCTGGCCCATCATCTAGCTATAAATCTCTCTCTCTCCTTTAATTTTTCTTCTCTCTCTTTTCATGTCCCTCTCACACAGCTTCCAAATGCCATCAAAAATCATCATCATCATCATTCATCCACACACACAGAGAGAGCTAGCCAGGGGCACATATCAAAACAGTCCCTATTGTATGCTGCATGCAATAACAGATCGATCGATGGATGGAAGCTGCTGCAGTAAGCTGCAAAACTTGCATGCGTGGAAGCCTTTGCATGGAGTGTACGTCTGGCATGCTGGCCCCTCTCTCTATCTCCTCTCTCTCTCCTCTACTCTACTCTCTCTCATGGAGAAAAGAATTTAGTTAAAATCGTTGAAATTAGAAAGCAAAAGATGATAAAGCTATACATGCATGCATATGGATTATGTAGAGCTAGCTTGCAACTTTACAAGTAGGTGTAGATAGTACTAGCTAGTATACATGTATGGTTGTGATTCTCCAAAGATTTTGTTGTCCACTTGTCATGCGTGAGATGGAAGTACACGTACTACAGTGTACAACGTGAATTATGGGGCCCAACGACTGTCAATTGTCACTTAAAAGAAGTATGGTTACAGCTATGATCAAATTGAGGGACTCGTGCCAACAATTTGGTCATAATATATAGTGGAGATGGGCGTGTGTAGTCAGGTTTCGCCATACCGTGCGCAAGGGTTTATTTTACCACCACACGAAGTTACGAAGGTTATCGCATAAAATTTATCTTTAAATTTTCGAATTCAAGATTTTCAACCTCCCTCAGTCGGTCGAGGTAACCGCGCCGTGGTATGCTTTTTAGAAAAAATAAAAAAATTGCAAAAAGGTTGAGGAAACTTGTAAAACATTTTATATAATATTTTGTGTAGGGAGAGATTAAATGAGGGAGAAAGAAAATATTTTTTTCCCTTTGCTGGGATTAAATGGGCTTTGTGATCTTCTTTTCCCTGTTCTCTGTTTCAACTTCAGTTTGACTCGAAAAAAATGAATTTAACTTTGTTTTTTTTCTTTCACACAAGGTTTTCACTAGATATCACTAGAAATTATGTATTACTTGTAAGATTTTTTTTTAATATTTTCATTGCTTCTATAAATTATATTTCAATTCAAACAAATTTCCCCAAACCATTCTGGTAATTACACCTACCATAGCTCTGCGGTAAAAGTGGTAACTATAACTGCAAAGGCCAAAGGAGGAAAACCCTTATAACCGCCAAGAAGAAAAAAAACCCTTGGCGGACCTATGGATACTTAGTTGATTTACATTGTTAAAAAAAATATGATCAGTTCATTTAGTTGATCCAGCTAAAGTGAGTCAAGTGTTACCGGCGATAGGTCCACGCCGGTCTCTAACAATGCTACATGGAGGAAACTAGACTTATATATTTTTTAGTACTAAATTTATACTCCATCTGTCCCAAAATATAATAATTTTTAACCTTTAGAATTTGTCCTAAAATATAACTTCTCTACCGACATTCTCTTCCCAACCAATCATAACCCTTCACAATTCAAATTTTTCTCTACCTCTATTTCTCATCCAATCATAATATTCATCCATTTAATTTTACCTACTTTCTTAATAACCACGTTAATCTCTAAAACTCCTTATATTCTATGATGGAGGAAGTTCTTTTTTTCATTAACAAATCGGCGTGGATGCTTTGGGTGATTAGTTTGGTATTTTGTTCATCATGTTTGATCTATCATCACAAGTTTATTTTTCATGCATTTAACTCCGGTTGAAAATGATTTAAAGGCATGCATGCCTCAAACCGAAGCATTTCTGTTTCCTCGTGAGAGAACACAATTATTCTTATCCAGCAATTTTCCACTAAAAACGGAGGCTTGTCAGTTTATCTGGAAAAACAATGGGACCAGAAATGAGAGTGAAACCCAATATTAGATTGTGACACAATATAGTAAGTGATTAAAAAGGTTTTCAAAGCACGTGATCCACACAGATCGAGTTGTCTAGCCTGGTGAAGCACATGGGTATAATTTTAACTCTTAATTATCATTCAAACAATGATTTATCCTCTGAAATATAGCAGTATCACGCAATATATGTGCGTGTTATGATGTTACTTATATTTATTTTAATTTGCAGATTGGTTATGATCTCTAGACCATTGCAATGCATGATGTTGTCATCAGGCATGTAGCTAATCCTGTCCACAAACATGATTACAATATCACAAGGTATATTATATATATATATATATATATATATACCAGCTAATCGCATTTGATTTTCTATCTTCACCTAAATAATGCTTTCATGTGCACAAGTATCGCAAACACTACATAAATAATAATTTTAATGAAATATTAGACTCCATGAATTGAGGGATCAAAGAGTCTAGACATTTTTCCCCATGTTTCCAGAGTGCATGGACAAAACTGAAGCACATCTTTCAAATTCATTTTTCCTTTTGCATATTTCATTTTAATGGCAAATCGGGTTCAAATGTTCAGTTGTTTACGTTGGGCCTAATGCAACCAGCCCAAATCTATCATTCCTCTTCCCTAATTTCTCAGCCCAGGCCCAAACTCCATGGCCTGGATATGATTTGTCGATCTGATCGAATTAATTCCTCCCTTGTAGATCCAGTCTTTCTTTCTTTTTTTTTCTTTTTTTTTTTGTGCGAGGTCTTGTAGGTCAAATGATTGATCAATGTAAAATAATAGTAAAAAAAAGAACTAAAATTCTTCGAGAAAGTAGTACTCCGTAGATGAAAAGGAGGAGAATAGAAAGAAGCAATAACTAGGCTCTGTACAGAATAATACGATTAGTAAAAAAAAAGAAGAAATCAGAATTAATAATTCTTGTTTCAGCACACCCATAGAAATCAGATTATGTCAGAAGTAATCTGCAGTTTGTTCCATCTTCTTCTTGCTTCTTAATACTATATATGATCTTTCTTACATCTAGCTAGAAGATTTTTGTTGCATATTTTATGATTGGAAATGAGTAGGCATGCATACAAAAGTATCTTCTCATGCTCCCACAGAACATTATTTGCCATCTGAATTCTGAATCAGTTTAACAGTTTTACAAACATTAATTGCAGTTTAGCTACCGTTGTATAGAAAAATTGCCGAAGAACAAATGTACAATGATAAGAAAAGAAAGGTTACTCCTCACGGAGTTTCTAGTAGTGATCGAATTAGCCTCTGCTTGAGATGCAGTGACAAGGTTGTGTGATTTTAACCAGGTCTCTTGTTCAATCTCTAATATGCTCACAATTCATTCTTAAAAATAGTTTGAAAGGACGTCTCTCTTTTTTTTTAATTAGCCTCTGCTTTGTTTTGTCAGCAACAGTGTTTTGATAATTCAATTGGTGTAGAGATATATTGTGTTTAATTTCTGCACTGCATCAATTGTATTTGCTGCTAATGCATAATATCAGATATAGTTGCTCAACAATCAACCTTGCAAGCTTGCGTTTATCCCGTTGTCTGTTTTGGCCAACTGTCTGGATTCTATACCAACACCATTTTCAGGCAGGCCAAGGCTGTGATTAGTTCACGCCAAAATTGAAAGTTTGGTTAAAATTGAAACGATGTGACGGAAAAGTTGAAAGTTTGTGTGTAGCGAAGTTTTGATGTGATGAAAAATTTAGAAGTTTTGAAGAAAAACTTTAAAACTAAACACGGCCCAATTTAGTTAGCACCACAAAATTGATGAAACAAATGCCGAATTGAGCAGGCAAAAAATATACCCTTCCAAAAAGTAGAAATCTATGACTAATATAAATATTTATATTTTTCCGATCGTCACATCTAATTTTCGTCCGTTTTTCGTCCATACACAATCTGATTCGGTTAGCAATAGCCATCGAAAAAAATTGCAAAAAAAAAAAATCGGCGGCCACCGCCACCTCCACCGCCGCCGGAGGGAGAAGAGAGGCGGCGGAGGGAGCGCCGCTGCCGGATCCACCCGCGGTGGCCACCACTGCCGACGGATCCACCCTCGGACGAAGCCGACGTCGTCGACGCCGCCGTTGAGAGGGCGCCGTCGCCATCGAGGCCAACGGGGAGAGGGAGAGGGAGAGGGGGAGGGACGGT